GAAGCCTGCCACGTCGAAGCGATCGATCCAGAAAGACGCCCAGATGATGGCATCGTCCATGATGGAACGGACCTGCTGCTGCTCGAGCGTGATGTGTGGCTGGCTTGACAGGGTTCCCATGCACGCAGGGCCGTCGGGTATCCGCTCCATCCTGCCCAGAGCCTCGCGGGCTGCTGCGACATGAGCCCACAGCGGGTCGGGGCCCAGCTGGGAGGCTGCAGGGTCGGGCTCTACACGAGGCTCATCCTGATCTCCATGGTCTGCTCGTTGTCGGACCGGCCGAGCGGCGGCGCCTGCTGCCACGAGAAGAGGCACTGCCACCCTGCCTCTCTTGACCGCACTCTTGACTAACTTGCCCTGGAGCCCTTGGAGACGACCACGGCACTCCTGCAACTGAAAGGCCGCGAGGCGAGTGCGGGCAACCTTGCCGCAGCTGGTGCACTTGGAATAACCGCGGCACACTTCCAGAACGTGCGGGTGCCTGGGACCAGCCTGAGGTCGCGCTGCCTGCGGAATGTTGGCCTCTTGGCCCTGCTGTCGTTCGGGCCTAGGCTCCGCCAACTTGACCCCGTCGAGGAGGACCCTGAAGTGCCCGATGTACTCGAGCACGCGCTTGGTGGCCTTGAGCTCCTGCTTGACCTGCAACGTGGCCCACTCTGGCGGCGCGCTGAGGTCTGCCCCTTGCTTGGCCCATTCGTCTGCTAAATCATTGTGCTTCATATGAATCTGGACCTCCTCTGGCAGCTCTAGACGTTTGGCCTGCGATATGTGCGAGGTGACTTTGATGACAGACAGCTCTCTGCCAGGAAGGATGTCCATGTCGTCCAGGCGGTCCCAGATCTCGAGCCAGACGTGCGCATAGGGCCTGGCCGAGGAGCAACACCATGCCCTGCCACGAGCCAAGCCTTGGACCACCTGGGCATTGTCAATGATGATGGCCGTGATGAAGACCGCATGCCTGAGGGCGTGGAGGAGACCCCACAACTCTGCCAGGACCGAGCTGGGGTCGGGAAAGGGCAGTGGGCCGTACAGGCCCTGCACCACGTCATCGGCCTCCGCTGTGCACTGCAAAGCCGCCCAGCCGCCGTGCCTGAGGTCATCCAAGCCTTTGACTGATCCGTCCGACACCAGCACATCGGTGAGCTCGGGGGCCGCGCCATTGACGATCCAATAGGTGCGCTGCGACGGTAGACTCCAAGCCAAGCCGTAACATGGGGTCCGCCGCAAACCCCGCTCCCATAGCCACCTTGAGGCTTCCGACGAGGAGGCCGACACGCCCAGGTGGCCGACGTCTCTGAAGGTAGGTGATGCGTCGTGGGCTGTCAGCTGCTCCCTTACTGTAGCACACGTCGGGCTGCCGCACCGCCAGTAATAGTGCTGGTGCGTGCCGAAACAGGTCGTGTCGTCGCACAGCTGGCAATACGGAGTGTCCGCCTGGCCCGACAAGAAAAGAGCCTCCTGCGAAGGGAAACCTCCCAGCACCGCCTTCTTGACCGCGTCGGCATGGTGCTGCAGCCACCCGTCCTGCTTGCGTCGCTTGACCAACTGCCTCGCTGGGGTGAGCCACGGCGCTGGCAGGAGCGCAGCCCGCTCGGGCTGGGCCGCCGCCCACTGGCACAAGGCTCGGGAACGGGCGGCCAACAGCACGGCGGCCTCAACGGACTTGGGGCAGATCTGCAGTAGATCCAGATGTACGTCCCCTCCTTGGAGCACTCCGCCACGTGGAGGCAAGACAATCTCAAAGGCTGATGGCATGCTCCACCCATGGGCTCTAACTGTGGCCGAGGTGGCCCCCGCTGGGCCGCGCACCACTGACCACAACTCCTGCGCGTCGGCGTCGATGTACAGCGCGAGCTGTTGCTGCACTCGGGCCCATGCCGTGGCCTGCGCCCGTCGCCCCTCTGGGTGGCCCCAAGCTTCCCTGGCCCAGGCCAGCAGCGGCGCCAGAACGAGGGCGTCGGCACAACTGGGGTCGAGGCCGTCGTGCAAGACTCGGGAGGTAAAGGCTGTGGCGCCTCTGCGGACGGCCCGATCCTTCTGTTGGATGAAACGCACGATGGGCCTGGGCGCGCCACGGACACGGGCACCGTAGGCGACCGAGGCTCCGAGGCCCTGCCGCACGACCAACTTGAGCTTGCCCCCGCGTGCACGAGGAAGGCCGCGTATCTTAGGCCAGCGCTGCTTGGCAATCTTGAGCCGCGCGTGTCTGACTGGGGCTGACTGGTTCTCTGCCTTGACGCTGGGACCGTAGTCGATACCGAGCCACCGCTCAGAGGTGCTGGGCGGCACTCCCAGGACGGCCATGGCCTGCGTCAAGCCTGAAGACGGAGTGGCCGTTTGCAGGAAGGAGCACTTGCTTCTCGCCCCGTCCCGCGCTCGGGCTACCTCCAGGCCCAAGAAGGACTCCAGCATCCAGAACAGCAAGCGCGTGGCCCGCGGCAACATGTGCAAGACGCGCGCCTCGGTGGACATGACCCGCAGGGCGATGTCATCAACGTAC